AAGAAAGAAAAAGAGAGAGAGAGAGCCAACCAAGAGAAAGAGGATTTAGATGGGGCGTGAGGGCCTGATCAGCTGTTCCTAAAAGCCAACAGTGTCCAAAGCTTTCAAGACCTTCACAGCCTGTTGAGATTGGCCTAGTGCTCCTCCCTCCACCTGCATCCCTGGTGTCACCAAAGGCTGGCTGTACTTCTTCTGTCACACTGTGCCCTCAGCAGTTCAGTCTCATCATTCTAGGTAACCTAGTAGGAAATGTTCTCTTGGTCTTTTCTGGGCTGAAGATGCTGCCTTCTCTCGTAGCACTGGGTGCATGATAGCCCTGTCAGCATCATAGGCTCCCTGAAGAAGGGACTCATGGCTGCTTGCCTGATGTTCCTTGCTCAGAGCAGGTTTGTTGAAGCTTTGCAGAACTGGATGTTATGGCTACCGTATGGCTCTGGAAGACAAAGAAAGGCCAAAGGGCCTGGCAAGTTAGGAAGGCTTAGGCCAGTGAAAATGGGTGTGAACCTCAGAAATTGGGGGAAATAGACTCCAACTTCATAGGATGGCTAGCCTCAGGTTGGAGCTTTGCATATACAGGATCCTCTATGTTGGAGCCTATTGAGGAGTGGGCCTCACAAATCCCAGGCCCCCCAAGAGAACCCCTCTCCATGTCTTCCACTCTACGTCTCCTCTTCCATAACCTTGTCACATGATCAAGGGTATTTCAGGGTAGTAGAGAATACCAAACCAGAGGGGAGAGTCACCCAACATCTATTAATGAGACCATAGCAAATATAGGAACAACCACAGTTCTGATCAGTCTTCCTTTTCTAGCTGACCTACTGTCAGAAATTAGAGCTAAGGAAAATTATAGAAACATCTCATCCAGTCCCTCATTGTACAGTTGGGGAAACTGAGGCCCAATAACTACAGCTAAGGTCAAATAGAAAGTCATGAGACAATAGGTGTTATATTCTATATCTAGATGTCTGCCCAAAGCCTCATGTGCTCATAGGTGGGGCTTTTCAGAAGTGGATGAATCTAGAGTGTATGATACTGGGATTACGGGTGTATGGTACTGGATTAGTCTACTAATTGGTTCATCATAGTTCTGGGCATGGATAATGGGAAGCCCACTCTTGGTATGGGTGGCACTGCCTAAAAGACTTAGAGCCCGGATGGAATGAACAAGAAAGGGAGGCTGCTGCTTGCTGCTCTACTGCCTTGTTGCCTGCCCTGCCATGGACTGTTTATCCCCTGCCAGGCTCATCTGCCATGGTGCCCTGCCTTGGAGCCAGCTGACTATGGACTGAAACCCCTACAAACTGTAAGCAAAACTAAATGTTTCCTCTTTTTATGTGTGGGTGTCAGCTATTTTGTCCCAGCAACAAGAAAATAACCAAGACAAAAAGCCTATTGCCCAATGTCTTGGCTTTGAAACTCTGGCTCTTTTCTGTGGAGCCTCCTTCCTCACATTTGACCCAGAACTATAGACAGAAACATAGCCAGAAGACACTACAAGGTGAAGCCACTTTTGGACAAGAGATAAACAATATGGGACACTTTCTGGCCTTAGATTCATGGCAAACAAGATGCCTTGGAGACTATAAGGAAACCCTGCTATCAGCCTACTTTCTTGCCATCCAGCATGAGTCTAAAACATATGCTCCTGCTTTTATTCTATTTCCTTGACATCTGTCGCGCGCGGCCTTGCCAGCAAGGAAGACGCGACCACTGGTTGTTTTCTGCGCAGCTCTTTATTGCTCTCCCACATCTGTCTTCTCTCTCCCGAGGCCCCTGCTCTTAGCTTATAAGTCTCAGGGCTTCCAACCAGGGGGTGCCACGTATGTACTATCCATTGGTCCAGGTATGTGGAAGCAATGCATTAGCCCAAGCCTTGGCCTTTTATGGAGTTGTTTACTACCAGGAGCGCTCACCCCGAGGGGGTGGAAGGCGGAAACCGGCGCCATCTCAGGGCGTGGTTATACGCAGCTCCCTACAGACATCTAGGATGAGCCCAAGGAGTATGTCCTACAACAATTTTAGAGTAAGAAAGGGTATCTCCACAGTCATGTCATTAGCATTATGGCTTTGGCCCCCATCCCATGGTCTTCGGCAGTAGTGCTGGTTCTGTGTAGTTCCATTTAAGTTCAAAAACTCTCTTAGGGGTCAGGGAGATAGCTCAGTAGAATAAGCACTTGCCTGGCAAGCACAAGGGCCTGAGTTCCGTCCCCGGTTCAACCAAAAAAGAAAAAAAACAAACAACTCCCTCCCAAGATGAGGGTTGAGACTCAGAGTTGAATGGAAAGCGGCCCAGTTACTACCTGACCATGTCCCAAATTTTAGGAAAACAAAAGGGAGGCCAATCCTGGAATTCACTGTAGTCACCATCTCTGAGCTCTGCCCATGTT